TTCCGTCTTACTTAAAAACTTTCCTTCCAAAAAATTCAATGGGGTATCCCTTCTTATTTGAACTGCATACTAGAGATGGACTGAAAGTCAAGATGAGTTCATGGGATATTTTAATTGGACTGTCATTCTAAGTAAGGATTTCCAGTCATAAATAGGTTAATCCAATCTAAATTAGAAAATATTTGTTGGAGTAGAATGAAAGTCTAATGAAAACATTTCATAAACTCGTCCAGACTTTCATTACCTCTTGAACAAATAGATGTAATTGGAAGGGAATGCTCATATTTAGACAGTAACTTATCAAATTAAATTGGAAATTTTAGAATTGGACGAACATTGAAATGATAATTTATAAATATGAAGGATTTTTTTTTATGGAATGTTTTTTCAACTTTCATTTATCGTGGGAATTTTTCTGTTGTTGTTCCCGCTTCACCTCGATCACCAGGTCTAGGCGTTGTAACTCTTGATGGCTATGCTCCAGTTTCACCAACTAATTATAGCATGCACAATACCTTGGATCTTATGTCCACTTCTATTTTGATCCCGCTAGGCGCCGCGGGTGGGATCAATGTCTTTGACCTTGTCTCTTCATTAGAGACTAGCATTCAAGGTGAGGTCTCTCTAAGATAAGGGATAGGTCAGCATAGTGATGTTGCACCGTCATTCCCTCATCAAGGCCAAGGACTGCCCCCATGATTTTGGTAACGGGAGATCAGTTCAAAAATTGAACGATCTTTTCTTTTGGCCAAAAATCTTGAGGGAAAGTGCACTAGTAAGCGAGTTCATCACAGTGAACAACAAGCAGGGCCCCCTTAAGATCTCTGTCTTGACAATGGACGACATACCGTCATCCTCTATTCCGTTGCAAATGGTAACAAAGTATCTGAGTAGGAGATATGAGATCCGCATCAAGAGCGGCTACTACACGCTGCGACTCGGTCCTTCCACAAGATAACCACCTCAAATGAGTTTTATTTATGTCTATCTCCTGAACGCAAGACCTGTCAAGGTGCCAACCATGGCCGATGTTGATTGAGGGCTGCATTGGTTACCCACAAATATCTTTAAATCCTCAAACATCAAAGACCTTAACATGATCTCTGTTGCGGAAGGAATTAGTTGGGAACAATTGGCTGGGCTGCACAAACAATTGACAGCAATGAGGAATTTTGTTTCAATTTTTCTTAAAATGGCTATCAGACATATGTGGGAAGATAACCTCTCTGCGAATCCGGAGACCCCACTTGTCACTGAGAACGAAGAGCCAATGCAATATGGGCTTAACGTGACAGGCCATGCCACCATCTAGTAACCCTCGGTTCATTACGTAGAATTTAAACGTATTGGAGACAACTGTCAGAACAAGAAATCTTAGTTGAAAACCCGGCTTCATCAGCATAAGATTCAACTTGCTTTACTCCAGGAAACGAAGTTGAATGAAGAAAAGATCACGAAATTGGGTAGTTCGTGGAGAGGGAACCAACGGTGGGCACCAGCCGACACGACAAAAGTTGGTGTTGCTATTTTATTCCATAAAGACCTCAACTGCCAAGTTATTGATGATTTAAACGACTCGCTTGGAAGATGGGTGTTGGTTAAAGTTATAATTAATAATAAGGAATCTGCCTTTATACCTGTATATGTGTCATTGACTGTAAAGAACGACAAAAGTTTTAGGTACAAATTTGAACGATTATTTCAGATATCAAGAATCTGATTATTGGAAGGGATTGAAACTTACTAGCATCAAATCTTTCCTTTGACTCATCTAGTTGTACAGTGAGTTAGCAGGAATTCAGAAGGTTCAAGAACTGACTTTTTGAGACTAATCTGACATATCCGCATGCTCAAACGTTTACATGCATTACACCTCAGCCTCCTCCTCGGACACTCACCCGGTAGCCAGGAAGAGGTTAGATTATTGGCTGATTCATTCACATATCAAGGAGAAAGTGATGGACATCTCAATACATGCCAACCCTGTCTCAGACCATACGCCAGTCACCATAGACATCTTGCTACTAGGCAACCCTCGATGTCATCGCGATCTACCGAGGATATAAATCCGTGACAAATATTGGACGATCCCGGAGTCAAGGAGTGGATCAAAGAATTTTGGAAGGACTGGGGGGAGGCTAGAAAAGACTTCGGTAGTCCTAAGGAATGGTTTGATAAAGGCATCCTACAGACCACAAAAACGTTAGTATTTTTTAGCTTAAGGCAAAAGAAAGCAATACTAGTAAGAAAGCAGAATTTAAAAAGAAGGTAGAATGGACAGAGTTCCAGATGAAGCACGACACCTATGCATTTTCTAATTGGATGAAACTAAGAAACCGGAATCTGAGTGTATAGGAAGACCTATGTATCACCCGCAAACTCGATGGGCGGGCGGCTGTGATCACGGCCACGGCCCGTTCGCCTGCGGTTGGGTGCGGCCACGACTTCAAGGTATTTTTTGAGAGTTAAAAGGTCTATAAAAAAAAAACAAAAATGATCTCGTAGACCTCTTTGATATCTACATTGCGCAATTTGTTTTCCTTTTTTTTTTTGCTTCATCTTTGAATTTTAAAAATTAAAAAACTAATTTTCCTTACGCAAAAGCTGTTTTTTTTTTTCCCAAGAAAAACTATAAATCTTATTTGTTTTTTATTTCAAATTAAGTAAAGTTTTTGGACATGACTCCAAGGCAACATTTGTTCAGTTTATTATTTTGCAGCACGTATGTTTTTTCGAGAAGTTTTTTTCTTTTTTCTTTTTTTCATGGTCGTGGGGTCGCGGCCTCACCCGGGCTTGACTGCCACCGGGGTGATTCATAGACCTCCACATCAAACAGGGGGAAGAGTGGTTGAAGCACTCTACAATGAAGAGGATCACTCAGAATGATCGAATGGCAAAACAGTTAATCCTCAAAGCTACTAAAAAATAGGTCATTCTTTTATTACAAAGTTTTCTCGTGTGTTTGATCGTTCTCTCCCTATAGCTAAGGAGCCGCAAATTTGTGCACGTATCCTAAGATGTTCTACGAAAAGCTACTTTCTACTAGTAAGGAAACTCAGGGCCAACCTCTGGTTAGACCTGAAGAAGAGGAGAAGTTGTGGCATACAGGAATCTCAAAGATGACATCTGCACAAGGAAAGATGTTAGACGGTTTGTGTGTGTGCGTGTGTGTGTGTGTGTGTGTGTGTGTGTGTGTGTGTGTGTGTGTGTGTGTGCGTGTGTGTGTGTGTGTGTGTGTGTGTAAATCTACTTTTGAGTTTNAAGCGGGAATCTCAGCAAGGCATTCATTGTAGCGGCAAGACTCAAAAATCGGTTGTGTTCTCAGTCCGTGTTTGGGCAGTGCTTACAATGTATGATATTCCCAGGAGTGAGTAGCAATCACAGCAAGAACTCAGCAATCACAGCTAGCTCCTTTGCTTGAGCTGAATCTATCGCTGCCAGCTTCGTAAGCAATGTAATGATAGCATGATGGCGTGTGTGTGTGTGTGTGTGTGTGTGTGTGTGTGTGTGTGTGTGTGTGTGTGTGTGTGTGTGTGTGTAAATCTACTTTTGAGTTTTCTCAATTTTGTTTTTCAAAGTCATGTATCGAAGTTTTTATATAACTTCTTGACATGCACAGTGTTTTTGACAGCCAGTGTGAGAGGGCAGCCCTGCTGGAGAGGACAGGATCATAGTTGGTGAAGAGAATCCAGCCGATGCAAAACTTGGCCTTCGTTGCTAGGGCTTTAAAAGTAGATCTGGTTGGTCTTACAGAGAGCATCTGGTTCTTGGAGTTCTTTTGTGTGCTGTTACAGATTTCGGAAAACACGTTCATGATTCATTGACATCCACTCAAGATAATCCTTAAGGCAATGTCACGACTATGGAACGGCGGAGACAGTGTGAGTGTTACCATCAGTCGTGAGAACGCTATTTGCCTGTAGTTAGCAAAAGTACGTTAGGAAGCAAACTAAGTCTTGAACTGTATCCATGGGGATCATGGTTCAGCGAACGTTGTTGTCATTGAAGATCCAAGGGTGCGTGGTGGGAAACCCGCAAGAGACAGATGAAGAAAAGTCGGAGAAAGAGGCTCCGTCGGTCCTACAAATCACACCTTCCGGAAAAGCAGGTTGGGCTGCAGGTTGGCTGGGATCAAGGGGGTTGCGCATCGGACATGGGAGCACGCAAAGGCATTCCATCAAGAGCCCCTTTCATGTATTGTACAATTCACGTTCTTAGTCGATCAGCATCCACATATAGGTACTAGAGACAAGAGAACCATCAACAACACAAAGCAAAGGAGGCGGAGATCGGACAACAGCACTGGGACTCAAAGAAATGGTAACGAGCAAAAATGAGAAATTGATTTCATTGTTAGCAAACAATAAAGCAGATTCGGCTCGATCTGCTGGGGTGAAGGCTAACAATCTGAGAACAGGAACAGGTTTGGACTCCTCTCTTTACCAATCAATTACGGCGTACACCGTGTCAAAGCCTCATAGAGGGTCACCCATGACTGCGGGAAACCAAGAGCGCACTGTCGTCGCTCTCTGCACTATGCCTTATCCACGACTCCCGGTGTTGGCAGTCCCAAGTTCAGAGGCTCGGCTGTCGGTGATGAGCCTAGTTCTATTTTGTCACGACTCATGAAAACTGAAAAATGGAACCTAGTGGCAATCATAGCGGATGCAGATCAACCTCGATCCTCCATTGTTTCCTACAATGGAAACCTACCCGCTAAATATGTGAAATCGTTCAACCATTGCTGTAGAGCCCGCTCTGTGCACCATGTATGAACCAGAGCAAGGTAAGCAAGCTGATTTGCAACGACGCGTACTGCAGACATCCTCAGCGCTTCGTCCGTTTCTACTAGTGGTGGTGCTTGAGGAAAGTAGTTATGCTGGATTTGCCCTTCTGGCGAACGGAAAAGCGGCGCCACAGTACTCGTTGCCTGCGCGCAGGGTTGCACCGTCCCTGAACAAACTTCTTCTACCAGCGCCCTGGATGACGCCATGGCTTACTTCCCGAGAGGTGTGACCGTTGCGGTTGCGCAAGGGCGCTCGCACTCTCCCAGGACACACTTCTCCCCGGCGGGACACTCACAATCCTTGCAGCACTTCTGGCACGGACCACGGGGCACGCAGCGCTTCTGTCCCTTGGGGCAGCACGGAAGTTTGCACTGTCCGTTGACGCACTTCTGCCCCTTGGGACAATCGCAATGCTTGCAGCACTTGACGCAGGGGCCGCCCTTACAGCAGCGCTTCAGTCCGGGCGGGCAGCCGCACGGGACCTTGCACTGTCCGTTGACGCACTTCTGCCCCTTGGGACAATCGCAGTCCTTGCAGCACTTCACGCAGGGACCGTCCTTGCAGCAGCGCTTCAGCCCAGTCGGGCAGCCGCACGGGGACTTGCACTGTCCGTTGACGCACTTGTGCCCCTTGGGACACTCGCAATCCTTGCAGCACTTCACGCAGGGGCCGTCCTTACAGCAGCGCTTCAGTCCGGGGGGGCAGCACGGGGGCTTGCACTCTCCCCTGACGCACTTCTTCCCGGGGCCACAGTCGCAGTCCTTGCAGCACTTCACGCACGGACCGTCCTTGCAGCAGCGCTTCAGTCCAGGGGGGCAACCGCACGACGGCTGACACTCGCCCTTGACGCACTTCTTCCCAGGGCCACAGTCGCAATCCTTGCAGCACTTGACGCACGGACCGTCCTTACAGCAGCGCTTCGTCCCAGGTGCGCAGGGACATGGCGCCTTGGCATCAGCGACATGGAGGCCGCAAGCCAGGACGACCAAACTCGCAACGGCCAAGGCCGCAGTAAACCGACCCATCTTTGCACCGGGCACGACTTTCGGTTAAGAGGTTATGACTGGTTGGCGACTTCAAATTTCCAACAGCGCACCCTGCAGCAACAGGACACACAAGCAACCATCGTACAGAGAAAAAGAGAGGCAACGAAGCGATGTGACAAGTATAAGTATCACGATTGGTCAGCTTCATCATGGCGTCGCCAGCGAACGACTTGCTCGAACCCACGGCGCAGCTGTCTACGACCTCTCTGAGCTACCACGCAAGCTACGAGCATCGCACTGAGATACAAAACCAAAACGATCATATCAAACAGAGAAGACAAGGATGAGTATTCTCACGGTAAACAGAGAGTGTCAGACCCGGACAAAAGAGCGAGATGGAAACGTTGGTCAGGCGCTCGAGGGTTCATGAGCTTCAGACGCGCAGCACATTAGGCGGTGATCGCCATGAGCATCGTCAACTTGGCAACAACGTCACACACACACACACACACACACACACACACACACACACACACACACACACACACACACAGACAAAAACACACACACAGAGACAAAAACACACACACAGAGACAAAAACACACACACAGAGACAAAAACACACACACACTCACTCACTCACAGTGACAGCGATTCAGACTGAAGCGGTCAAAGAGAAGCTGGAGTGGGGGGAGCTCGAACGCGACTCCGCTAAAACAGCGAGGTTGAAAGCCGAAAGAGCAGGAAGGCATTCGAATGCGAAGATAGACACGGGGAGTATTAGTATTTGGAGGAACATTTTGCAACGGGAATCTTCTCACTCGGGCGAGGGACTGTCCGAGACCCGCACGCAATCTGCTGTTCGACCCGATGGAAATGTGGCGTCATGACTTCTGCCTAGTACGCAACAATGCTCAACTGCACACGACGAGACCTCTCTCTCACACTCAGCAAGTAAATTGAGCGCATGATTTTGCCGCTACTCGATAGTGCACAGAAAGTTTGACCCAAAAAACGGGAAGATGCGGCAAAAAAGGCAACCAGTTTCAGGTGCAGACCAGGCAGACTAGGCAACACCAGCAGCTACACCAGCAACACCAGCAAGACAAGCACGACATAAACATACGTTGACAGCGACTGAAAAGCGGTCAAAGCAAACATGCAGAGAGGGGAGGCGGCGCGCAAGTCCCGTTAAGAAAAGAGTGACGAACTGGTGGAGGGAGAAAATAAAAAACGAACATGAGAAAGAGAAAGGCGGAGAAGTGCCGGGTAGAGAGAACGTCCATCCTTCGTACTTGTATTTGCAAATCTCACGGAAAGAGACAACGTAAACAGAGGAAAAACGACTCCAAAGAGAACGAGTGCCTTAATTTAGTCCATGCCACAGAAAGGCGAGGCAGACAAGGAAGAAGAAAACCCGACGCCGGAGAAAGCCGGGACGACATGGGAGAACATAAGAAAGAAGGTAAGATGTGGCTACGAAATTGCGGACTTAGACAGGAAATAGGAAAAGGACGTAGCGAAAGGACGGCCAAAGGACTAAACAAAAAACGACTTAGGTATTGCTGAAGCGAGTACACAGAGCCTCCGCTCACCACGTACCTTGGTCCGAAAGGACACAATCGTAATCGCCCCCTACGGTTGCGAGCACGCTTGATCTGGGAAACGTCTGCGATCTCCTTTTATTCCTTCATCACATGCGCCATCATTTTCGCTACGGCCTGCCTCCACAAGGCCGGCAACGAGGAACTGCTTGCCGCCAAGTACTATACTCCCAGTTGCAGGTGCTGACGTGCAGTGCTCTCCTGTCTGGCTTTTTCCTTTTTTTTCTGTATACACATCTTACGAAAGGGCGCTTCATTGATCAGACCAGGGGTACAAGCACCTGCCCGATGAAGGGTCCGAACCTTTCCGCTATGGCTCCAGAGTCCAGACTACCCGAGAGGAGCGTCGCGTGCTGGTAACTGGGGCCAGCGCGTATGCCCCTTGCACACACCATTTCAGTATAAGGGCATACCCAGACTTGGCCCCTTTCACACACCATTTCAGTATAAGGGCATACCCAGACTTGGACTTTCTCTGCTTATTTCTGGACCGGATTGCAGCTAGATTCATCCAGGTCGGGCTGCGATTGCTACCAGATACATTTAGCAAATGGCCAGTGTGAGTGAGTATGCTCTAGGAGACCTGTTGATTGCCCTTCCCGCCTTCGATGCACTCGTTTTCGTTTCGTTGTTCTGTGCCATGCGGCGAGGCCAGTACTGCACTGCATACTGCACGTCTACTCTACGATCTAGGAATAATGGCATCGCCACACCGCTCTTGAAACGAGCAAAGGAAATGGCCAGATGCGTCCGCCACATTTTTGTATTTTTCACATTTCGAGTGTGGTGTGGCGATGCCCCATCCGCCACGAATTGCGGCGGATGGTCAGTAGTGCAACTAGGCCCAAAAAGACAAAAACAAAATGGCGGTGTATCATCCCATCTTCTAGTGGAAGGGCATACTCACACGGCGACCCCAAATCCGCAAAACATGTGGATTTGGGAAGGGCCGATTTGAGGTTTTGGGCATGGTTCTCGTCACACTGCTGTACCTTGTCATATGGGACAAGGTCGCGGCCGTCTGGAGAAATGGGGATTTGCTACTTGGCTGTTCACACGGCGCCATCCACCAAATGTGCAAGAACTTTTGTGAACGAATTTTTGCCAATTTTTGAAAAAAATGCGAAAAAAAAAAAGGGAATTTGCGGTCAAATGGGCACTGGAATAGTACATTTACGAATTTGGTAGATCCGTGTGACCCGTCTTTTCCCCTTTTTCTTGGGATTTGGTGACTAGTGGAGCGAGGCCCGCGTTTCCTCCTTTCGTTTTTTTTTTTTTTTTTTTTTTGGTCCGTGGGCGCCGTGGGGCAACATGATTTACCTCGTTTGCGGGGCCCTATACTTGCAGGGGTCCCCTCTATATAGTCTTAGTAGTAGTGGTAGGAAGGTAGAAAGAAGTGAAGAGGTAAATGGAGAGAGAAAGGCGAGAAGAATTTGAGAGGAGAACATACTGTAGTTGAAAAAAAAAGAAAAAAAAACTTGGAGTTTATGCGCTCTCTCTCAAAAAAAGAACAAACCCCAAAAAAAAAAAAGAAAAAAAAAAAAGAACAAATTCCCCCCGGAAAAAAAACAAACAAACAAAAAAGAAAAGAACAAATGAAAAGTGCAGGTTGCACCACTCGCCATCTGGCACCCGCCATCTGCGGGCACGCTCACACTGCGGTTCCAAAACCGCATATTCTTAAAAAATACGGATGCCTGATTTGGGGATATAGTGCCGGCGCCAGTCACACAGTGTCCCCAAACCACCCATTCCACGGTCACGGTAGGTCGGCCAGTGCGAAATTGCTGAGGTCGCCCGTCACACGGAGCCGACCCATTTCCCTCAATTGCTTGAGCCGACCCATTTCCCTCAATTGCTTTTCTTTTTTTTTTTTTCTCTTCGTTGTTCAGGGACTCACTTCTTGCGTCTGACCGGCCGACGAGGTCACCCATTTGCCCAATTTCCTCATTTTCAATTGATATGGCGCCCATATCTTGCCATTCCATTCTCAAGTCATTTCTGAAAAAAAAAAAGAAAAAAGAATAAGGAATTTGCGGTAACCTCCCGAGGTCCCTGACAAAAGGGTTCGGGAATAAGTGATTTGCGAAATTGTGCACCCAGTGTGACTACCCCTCGACCCCATTTTTTGGGGATTTTGGGGAATATGCGGTTTTGGTACCGCAGTGTGAGCGTGCCCTGCGTCTCGACATCTTTTTTTTTTTTTTTTTTTTTTTGGATGCGTCTCGACATCAAGGTTAACCAAATGCATTTAACATCCTTGGGGATGGCGAGGAGTTCGACTAACGGCATCCCCCAACACAATGTACCCTCAATGTGACTGCATCCAACGGGAAAAATGGCTTGTATACATTCAGAACCAGGTTGGTTTATGTTCGGGGGAAGACGGTAGGCCCTATCGCTGGTATGCTCATGGTTGCACGATGTGCATCGTACCGTTCAACTATATATAAAAATATGCCTATGCGGATTGATCATAGTAGTCTCGATTCGGAGGATAGCATACGCACAGCACGACTGTAGAACATCGCCCGTCATTCAACACGACCGTGCTCTTTGCTTGCAACGGCGGTCTCCTTCCTCAGTCTTCTTCTCCCAAGCTCCACCCTCTGCCCTCTCTGCCCCCCTCGCTCAGGTGCCGCTTGCGCTCATACGATGGCGCTCCCGAGGACTGCTCTGCTGCTGGCCATTCCGCTAATTTGCCTTGCCCTCTCCGCCGCTATCCCATCCGTTCATGGTCTCCGCCGCCTGACATCGGGCTGTGGCGGTTGTCCATCGTCCTGCGACACGGCGCTGAAGGGATGCGATTTTTACTTTTATGGTCACGAGAACAACGTGCCCAAGATCAAACTCATCCGTAAGGGAGACAATACCATCTACGTCCGATGCGGCCATATTCTGCACCGAGTTGGGTAAGACACGACCGCCACAACACCATCAAGCAATAAAATCCTACTCGTCTTGTGTTTTCTTTCGTTTACTGTTTTCTTCTTCTTCCTTCTTCCGTTCATCGCACGTTGATCTGCTCTTACTTCGCTCGGGCTTTCCTTCGTTCTCCATTACTTATTATACAGTCGCACTCTGCAATGTCGTAATCCTATTCCTGCTCGATTGCTGTCTTCTTCTTTTTATTCCTTTCGTCGTCTGTTTGTTCCGACCTTTCGATCCCCGTCTTCCGCTTTCTTCCGTTCGATGTCTGTTTGTTGCTACCTTCTGATTCCCGCCGCCGTCTTCTTTCTTCCGTTCATCGCTCTGGCTTTTCCTCCTTTTTCATCCGAAGGACCACACAGTCATAACCTCTACGGTCAGCCGAATAGAACGCCAAGTCACTTTGGTCATTTGAGTCGAGATGCAGCGACGATAATGACCGGGCGTGCGTTTTATTCCGGTCAAGACTGTAGTCGAGGCGCATAAGGAATTGCCTTTCGACATGATGTTAGATTGTTTTTTTTTTTTTTTAGGAATAAATGATGTTCGATTCCGACTAACGTACTGTGTGGCTTCCGGGTCATTGCACACTGCGCTGTGTGGCTTCTCCTGCATAATCACGCTCTGGACTGGGTCTGCGTAAGGAAAGAAAGAAGCAGCTGCTCGGATCGGATTGATGCGGAACGCGCTGGCCAACGAGGGCCGTCACGTCCCTCCGTGGTTTCTGCCATAATGTGCCATTTGTATCCCCGACGCCCCGCTTGTCAAACGCCCATCTTCTTTTTTTTTTTTTYCCCGTTTTCTGTTCATCTGATCGCATGTGGATTCGAGGTCAGGTCTGCATTTGGACAGGTTAGTGCCGTTGGTGAAAGTTCCATCTGTAAATTTGTCCCATCACCAAGAAGCAGCTCGACGTGGCCAGTCCTCATGTGGCTATGATATGTCAGGTGCGGAGCTATCCATGGCATGGTGTGATGAGATGGGCTCCCGACTGCCGAGCCAATACATTAACTGAAAGGTTTTGCGATGTTATTTATGACAAAATTTAACGTCAATATGTGGTCGACTCCGAYGTGCAGGTACGACACTCGGCCCGTGAAGGTTGTGAACTCGGCCAACTGCGCGATTCTCCAGGGACAGACGTGGAACACGGATGCGTGCCAGCATCGGCTGTACGGCAATGGCAGGCACCTCGCGTCTCGYGAGTTCAACGTTGGCAATCCCAGCGACTTCCTGAACGCGTGCATCAAGGTCCAGATCAGCGCGGCGCAGTACCAGGACGGAGGAAACTTCAATAACGGTCACAAGAACCCTAGGGCCTGCATCGTGGTGAAGACCGAGAGGTCCTTCGGGTAATTGCAGCGGATCGGCCGAAGAAAGGAGAAGATCGGTAGATAGGGTAAATAACGACTGTAGCAATCATGTTTGTGGTCTTGTGAACAAGAGTGATATGTGTGTTTTCTTGTGTACATAAGTGCATTTGCCTCCATTGGTACTTTGGAATTGAATTGGGTGCACTTATTTACAGAAGAACACACACACGTAGCACCCTGCTCTAGGTGGAAGATGGAAAATTACGCAGAATGGTGAATTATAATAGCCGCACCTTTCCTGTAGTCCTTGTAAGGGTGGGATCTATCGAGTRCCGCAAACCATGGGTTATGAAGATTTCGTAATTTATACAATTATGGRGAAAAAGGTGTAGATTGAGGTCTATAGATACAACGACGTTGCAAGAGTTTTCTTGGTAGCTTCATTTCCATTTAAGTAGGAGATACGGTTGGGGTGAGGGGGAAGGAGAGAGAGAGAGAGAGAGAGAGAGAGAGAGAGAGAGAGAGAGAGAGAGAGAGAGAGAGAGAGATGCAGCATGTTGTCGCGATGAGGCACGACTGTTTTGGGGTGTCATTTTCCATTTACGAGGTGAAATTTCCGTGAAAAGACTTCAGCTTCCCTGTTATCGTATGCGATTTCTTCGGTAGCGAAAAGACTACAGAATTCAGGAGATCCGTAGTTGTGATGTAGGTATTCTTAGCATCCCGAGAACTTGCCTTTAGATCTGACGGTCTTAAATTCTCATTAAGGGTTAGCTCTTTGGATCTAGAACAGAGGTATCTACATTCAGAGCAGTTTTTATGGTACTATCAAGTCACAATGCTTAAACTTTCTATCTGCTCTCTCTCTCTCTCTCTCTCTCTCTCTCTCTCTCTCTCCCCTTCCCTTTGTGATCGGTCGTTTCGTTTATATTTAATTCTCGCCGAATCTCCCGTACAAAAATGGAAGTGCACACTTGTTATATGTGGAAATCTCCCCCGGCGCACCTGTTATATGGTACGCCGCAGTTTTTTTTTTTTTTGTTTTTTTTTTTTCAATTTGTCGATTCATGTGTTGTGCCTGCGCAGCGGTCGTGCTCCACTTCTCTCTCTCTGTATCGTTCGAATTTGAACGGAAGTCACGTAGTACACTCCGCACTTTCCCCTCACAGATACCTCCATCTCACCTTTTTTTTTTTTTTCCCCAAGTAGAAGGCCCTTTCATTTCGAAAATGAATGTGAGAAGAGCTTTTCGCGTTGGCATCGGAGGCCGTACTCACTCCAGGAACTTACAGATACTATAGGGCACCCTCTTTTGCCTACCCGAACCCTCGTATACATCAGGTGCCCACATATGAAAAGGAACTGCAGTTATTTTCCATAAAAAACCTACAGCAATAAATAAAATTCCCATGAAAATACCACTCTATTGAGTCCCAAAAAAAGTCATTTCATAACCAGTCAAAATTTTGGCTAACACTCCCGGTCATTATCTCTGTCTATGGATTTGAAAGGTGCTCCAATTGCGGAGATAATGCGCTGAAAGATTCTACGGAGAGCGAAGGTGCTCCGAACCGTTTTTTTTTTGTTTTTTTTTTTGGAAACACAACTGAATTTCAAATGCAACTGTTCCTCGACGTCCTGAGGCTAGGGACCCGAGTTCAGGCTCATACCGATTACCACCACATGGAACAGAACGATATTCTAAGTCATCATTGATGCAGAGAAGTTGCATCAACTTGCATGCTGCAATGTTAGTCTCATGCTTAAGGCATCTGTGACCCGCCGGAAGAACCCAAAAATCGTCCTATCAGTGAGCCCTCCTGAAGGAACATGGTCAACTAGGTCACAAGAATATAATTTCTTGGATATGCATAAACAGGCGAGAGGTGGAAATGCTACAAACGACAAGTCTAAAAACAGAACCATTGGCTGAACCCTCAACAGTCTGCAGAATCCCCTACCTAACTGATTAGACTGTAAGTGATAATCCACCTTAACCCCGGCTGTGTACCTTTGCCGCCTCGGGTAGGCGTCCGACCTTTTCAGAGGCCGAAACGAAACTACGGCCGCCCATCAGATTTATCAATGGCAGTCGTCGTGGGGCCCGACCTCCGAATATTCAGGAGTTTGGGAAAAATGCCAGTTTTCCCTATTTTCCCACGCAGGGAAAAATGCCTGTTTTCCCGATTTTCCCATGCGGAAAAGGTACTAGTGGTTTAAGCATCAACGACTGGCCCACAACTGATACCCCTCTAAGGTGGTGGGGACGACCAACCACTGCCCTCAAGGTATCTGTGACGAAAATCAAAGCAGACTGTCACTCACCCACATCAAATGGAAAACTCTACAGACTGTGGGTTCACACTCCATCACAGACCAGCAAAAACGCCCACGAAACAAAGAAATATCTATCACAGCCAACAAATATACATTCCAGACACTCTGCTGGCACTAGAGGCATAGCATGGCCGGGTAGTGACGGGCATGACGCCCCCAATGCGAGAAAACCATAGCACGGTGCTAGCCAAGTCGTGGTATATATCGTCAAACAGAGCCACCCGGGTAAACTGTAGGCAGAGAGGGGAGGGAGAAGAGGACAACAAACGAGGGTCTGTGACAAGCTGTTTCGTCGGAGTTTCACCGACTCATCAATCAGTAGAGGCTGAACCCTCAACAGTCTGCGGAGTTCCCTAACTGATTACACTGCAAGCGATAATCAACCTAACCCCGACTGTATATATTGCTTCAATGGCCGAGATTACAGCTTAGAGAGCTTTCTTTAGATAAGTCCGAGATGAACAGAAATAATGAATAGCACAAATTCGAAGAGAGGCACCGCCGTGAAGCCACCCTCCTGCATGTTGTAGGTGCAGCTTGCCAGGGTTCAATATGGTATTACAATCAGCTGAACCATACGCAAGGATCACGTGCTTCCACTCTCGGACTGTCCAGACTAGGTCTCCCATTGTGTTGCGGCAACATCTACATTGGTTTAACAAGTCTACTACTACGACTACTAGATGGAAAGAGCACAAGCATAGAAGTCAGACCATAGGGAGGAACGAGAGAAAGCATCTGTTATCCAGATGGTTGTTGAAGGCACATCTACATTGGTTCAACCACCCAGGCTTTTTCTACTGGATGGAAGAATCACGTGCTTAGAAGTCAGACCATACTAGGCAAGAATGAGAGATAGCATTGGATATATTGATGGTCGTTGAAGGCACGTCCACATCGGCTTAGCCACTCAGGATCTTTCTACTGGATGGAGGGAGCACATGCTTAGAAGCCAGACCCTAGGGAAGAATGAGAGAAAGCATCGGCCATGCTGATAGCTCAGAAGATTTGATATCGAGAGCTTTGTTGTGATCATTCCTCTTTGTCCCACATGTAGGACATAGGATGTTATATTCCCTGAAAGCTCGTTGATTAGACTGTTCTCCCCCTTCTTAACTCAAGGGGAAAGAGCTCCTGCTCGTAAGTGCTAATGCAAAGAGAAACGACAACTTGAAGGTAGACGGCAGGCCGCAAGGGCGTCCGCTTCTGGGGCTGACCTGTGACGCTCCAACCTCACGTCCTGTGCTGTCTTCCGTTCGGAGTGTTTGAAATTGCGGAAGGGGCCCTATAAAGGCAGCAAGATGGGGTGTGACAAGGATTTTTGGAAAATTGAGTGCGGGGGGACACGGACAGAACCGAAATCCCCTGTGCTGGTCCGACTTAGTAAGAAGGGGGAGGGTCCGTCACTACGGGTTTTGAGGGAAGAGAAGGCGCGCGCGGGACACACGACGCGGGAAAATTCAATCCAAAAAGTATCCCTGAACTTCCCATAGAGCCGTCGCCGTTCGTTTCGCGTGGAAGGGGGCGGGCACATACTTGGTATCTCGTTTCCGGGTCAAGTCCCGACGCCGCTCATTACACAACTCCGAATCTGACGTGGAAGGCCTTAACCGGGTGTCTCTTTCCTTATGCTCATCTTCCTCTCGTACTCGGTAGTGAAAGCCCTTCGATTGGTAACGCTCGAAGCGGCGACAATGGCTGCACAGAGTGTTAGGCCCATGGGGCGCTACTGCCGACCACGGGATGACGATCAGCTAATTAAACGGCAATAGCAACGAAGTGTGTGTCCACAATAACAAAACCAGCACCGACGAATCCAGAGCAGCGAGCTTCAGGGGGGAAGTAGTATCTTCCGCCGATCTTGGCGACGGCTTCTCGTAGGTCTCACTCGCATACATGTGTCGGCGTGACGGGGATACAGGAGGTCATCGCCCAGTTGGCTTGGGACACTCGGTCCTCATGGCAATAGCGAAATCCTATCCAGCATGCATTCTACGTGTTCATCACAACGATCCTACGATCCAGTCGGAGGCAAGTTCGCCAGGCAATCGTCTCATTATGACACCATCCAGGCATTCTCATTCATTTCCCACAAACATTCATCAAAGGAAGGTGCAAAAATGACAGCTACACACCACTCAGTTCTCTGTGTGCTCTGCACCCCTGCCCCGTCATCCCCGTGACTAGTTAAGCACCAGCCAAAACAACCATTTGATCCCTCGTGCACGATAGATCAACAAACATCCATAATTGTTCATGTCATAGAGGGAGAGAGAGAAGGCAGGGAGGAAAAGACGCGGAGCAGACAATATAGATGAAAACTACACCAAGATCCGATGATGAAGAAGAGTTTCCGGCCTAACTGCCGTCGAACTGAACTCACTGCAAAGAATAGATTCGAGACAAGGAGGCCCGCCCGCCATGAAGTTCAACTATGGCCCCGGGCCATTCATCCATTCAACTCGGATTACTATCCCCGTGCATGCACTGACGATCCCGTCCGTCACGTGCCAATTTCCACCACAGCGATCGTCACCCCGCCAACTTAGTCTCTGCACGGCTTGCCCACATCCCACAGTCCATCGTGGCGATCAGGCGCACCGCCGCCAGACTACAGTCAGCCCGTCGGGACTTTTCGACTCGCACTCCACACATACCATCTAGCCACTATTTCCTGGAAGCTGGCAGACAAGTTGAGCGAGAGATTTGCGGGCGCGATTGCGGAATTTATAGTTGCGGGAAGGGAGGTAGATACGAGGGAGAAGGATGATTGAGTCCGGGAAGGGTGAGAGAGGAC